CCGTACTACACACATACGCGGGCGGTGGATCGCAGGCGCGGCGGGCATGCCGCGAGCGAACGAGCCGGATTCGCAGTTCGGACAACATGGCTCGCAAAGCCACGTGCAGGCTTCCGTCGACGCTCTGGCCAGAGCAGGAACGGCGGTGTCGACATCTTTGCCGGTTATGGGAGCTAACACATTCATGAGTGGAATGGAGGGCACGACGGCATCCTCAGTCCAGGTGAGGAAGTCGACACTATTGCAACAAGGATCGCCCCAGGCAGGCTCTTCGCCGGCAGTCTCCCGAGGAACGCATGCGAAGGAACTTTTTCGAAAACAGCTCATCCGGTCGGTACAGTCGAGCAGCGACTTTGACGAGATTTTGCAGGCGCATGATGCCGAAGGCCAGGCCCAGGCGATTGCTGAGGCGGTGCACGAGCAGCTGAGCGGACGCGGCGCCCTCCCGATCCTGAGCTCCTGGAAAACTCTTAACTTGTTTGCTCAGGGCCAGAGCTTTGCGGCGGGCGTGCTCAGCGGGCTGGTGACGGTGGAGTTTCTGGTCAACACGACGGACGACAGTGTGTTCCAGCAGCGGGCGCAGGAGTTGTCCGGCATGGACCGGTCGGAGCTGAAGGAGCAGTTGCTCCAGGCACTGCGTCGACCGCACCGCGTAAATGTATGATCCGTCCGAAACTTTCCCGAGTCAACGAGCAGCAAGGGGACCATGGGAAGGGCCTCTGACTTCTCACGCTCTCGCCTGAAGACCATCTTGAAGGCAAAAAGTACCAGACTGACATGATTTGACAGAGCACGGGTGAAGGACATGGCAAAGGGGCAGACAGCGCAAGGGCTGCGACAACGGCAGCGGGCCCATCGACGACGACGTCGAACAGCAACAACAGCAAGAACAACAACAACAACAACAAAAACGACAGCCCCGTCCGAGGCGCGGGCGAATCACGGAGGAAGAGGCCGGTCAAACTGCCCAGCTGGGGGAATAGGGCAGTCAAGGATGGGCAGTGACGGTGGCGGATGTCGGCGGCGATTGCTGACCGGTGTTTCGGTTCATTTTGGTTTCGGTTTTGGTCTTGGTCTCGTTTTCTCAAGATACCCCCCCCCCCCGCCCTTGAAGATTTGGCGTTGGAGAAGAGGACAAGGGAAGAGACGGTTGATAGGGTTTGTCTGGGAGGGTCTCGATGGGGTCGATGTGAGTTTCGGGGCTCTGACGGACACTTCCTTTTCTCGTGGGTCAGGTAGCGTCACGCTCGTAGCTCACATGACAAGGGAGGACCCTCGACTGATATGGCATGTACCCTGTAGTTGTGTGTGGCTTTGACTGTATCATATCAGAATACAAAATGAGCGTTGTGGTGAGGGAAAGGAGCATCGCAGAGTTGTGTACGCTTTTTTCTTATTCTTTTCTTTTGTGAATGATCGAAGACAACAGAAAAGTGGACCGGGTCCTTCTCATGGCCGTCATTGCTGAATCACAAGAAGGCCTTCTTCATTGTCAGATCCTGGGCAGCTCGCAGACAGTTGGATGTGTCAGGGTGAGCTGTTGCGGGACATCTGGCAAACTGTACCGGCGTCGAGGTCGCTAGCGGTGGATAGTGGACAGTCAGTAGTGGACCGTGGATAGTGGCATCGTGCCATGGATGCGTATTTGACTCTTGGGAGCAAAAGCCGAGTGTAGTGAGGGAGTTTAGACCAATGAGGAGAGGGGTAATTCCCCCCAGGCAATGACTTGCAGGCGTGGCGGTGAGTGGCCAGAGAAGGCCAGATGTCCACTAAAGACCGCTACTACGTACGGGGCCACAGGGGCTTGAGGGCTGCAGCGCGGGGCTAACGCTCGATGGCCAGGCGGCAAGGGGCCAATGGGGCCGCTCTCGCAGACTTTTTTCTGGGCCGAGCGAGGAGGGATCCCGAGACGCCGAGGGCATGGTCTGTTTTCTGCTCTTGCAGGTACAGGGCCCCCGCCATGTGAGGTACACAGTGTCTGGGGCCGGCCATCAGGGGGACACAGTCAGTGCGTGTTGGGTGACTCGCAGGGGACTTAACACAGTGCGTGCGCCTTGCCGAGACGGTCCGGACCCCACCAGGCCTCGCTTGACCACCGCGCGGGCAGTCACCGGAACGGGGTTTGCGAGCCTCTGCCGACCCATGGACTGTGACTGACGACTGACTGCAGCAGGACTGACCCGAGTACACTAAGGAACTTGCCTGGCTCGAACGTGCCTGCCCTGTGCTTGTGTGGCTAAGACCGTTTTTGACAACTTTGAGGTACTCCGCCGACTCTCGCCTCGCCTCGCCTCGCCTCGCCTCTTCTCGTCTGGTTTCTTCTTTATTACTTT